GCAAAACCTTTTAGTTCAAACTAAAAGTATGTGAGATTTAGATTGATAGTGGAAAACATCTAAATGTGGTGGGAATGAGGTTTCACAATCTTAGTGAGCAACCGTGGTCTGTTTTAAAAATAAAACATGGTTGACATGAATTAATAGCACAAGATGGACTGTTTCAAATACACAATGTTTGCTATTTAAAACAAATTGCTTTAAATGCATTGCAAGGGCAAAATTTGGTTTCGGTACCAATCAACTTATTATTTCTGCATATATAATATAAAAACACTCCTTTTAAAAAAAACTTTTCCACAAAACATAATTAACACATACAAGGTTTCCACAATATTAAACTATTAATTTATCAAAAAATTACTAGTAAAAATGGCTTCAAAAGCAGATAAAGTAGAAATTATCCACAATGAGGAATTACCTTAAAAATGTGTCCACTCTTCAGCCGTCCATGGATACCCTCGTAGTGCGAAGTAATCCCAGTGAGAACAGCAAACCTGTGGAAAACACTCACGGTCAGTGAATGATTAAGTAACACTTTCTGAGTTTATAGGAGACACACTTCTGAACATAATGTTTTTTTTTTCAGAAACTGAACACCAACTGTCATTGCTGGGTAAATGTTTTTTTGTAGATAGTACACACTGAGCCTGTCAGTCTATACAACTAATATCCGGTCGGTTTTATTCCCCAGATATAATCAGCAGTCAAACCGGATATACTGAGGAAAACCAAGCATGCCTTCACACTCTGTTGAAAGACTTGTCATGACAGCAGCACACACTGGTCATTTCTAAAACGTGGACTCTATGGTCTTTGGTGGTTTCAAATACACCATTAAGAACAGATATTGTACATAGACAACCCTATATACTAATGTTTCAAGGAAGGCATAGCTTTACATACACTTTTTGTTGCAAGTGATACAGAAAGACGTCAGCTTCCTTGAAGTCCAATCTAATCAGACCTCAAAAGCAAAGCAGGAAAAGGGCTGTTCACTATTTGGATGGGAGTTCACTATTTGAATTAGGTTTACCTCAGCATTGATTTTATTGGACCACTAATTGTTACTACTCCCTCTGGGCCCAAAAATTATAAACCCATGGTGACAAGGCACACAGTGCAGTGGCAGGAATCAATCACCCCCATTTGAAAGAGTAGAAATCTGAGCCCAGTGCGCTGGTCAAGGACCAATTCAATTGAATTTAATAGTGAACAAAAGGTTATTAATTTCATAAGCTTTCAAAACAAGAACAATAGAACAAAAACCATATAACATTTAAATACCAGCCCACCACCATCACTGGTACCCTGGTAAGTCCCCTAAAACAAGAATAGACATCCACAACAGAAGCAGTAGCATGCCAGGTTTTTACTATTCCATCCCCGGAATCATGGACCTGAGCAGGAGATATATAAATAAGACAGACCAGGATCCAATGTTGTCAGTGATTTTAAAAAAAAATTAGTTGCCCTCACTTTTTTATATTTTACACCTTCCACATTTGCAAACCCTAATTATTGATCAACAACTACAGTACATTGCTACAGCCTCCAACCAAGATAGGAGGAACAATTTTACTGTTTTACCACAACCTCAGCAACTTGCCATTTGACATTTCAACATGGCACTACAGGTGAGTTAGGGCTAACTGGGAGAGCAACGTGTCACCCTGACATCAGGGCAAGCTCACAGGTACTGGGCGAGTATTATGGTACTGTAAGTACAGGAATTCACAAACAACTCTAGTCCACCTAACATGGTCTCATCTGTCTGACTGCATGTTGTCACTTCATGAACGCAACTCACAGTTCCTCTAGATGATTAGAAGCAGTAATTTCACAGATCTCAGTCTCTACTACAATGCTGTAAGAGCTACTAGCAATTAATGAATGCTGTACAATTAGAGGGCTGAAACCACAGGCAAAGCATATTGAATGGGAAATAGCATACAAAAATGCCATTAATGAAACTGCTGATCCTCCATCTATTTAAAACGCCTCTTTATCTTGCAAGAAAATTAATGATTTTTTTTCAAATTTCATCTGCAGTTAACTAATGTTGAAGGCACATACTAAGACAAAACTAAAACATATTTTAATACAAACTAGTTAAATGCTTTAAATATGAAAAAATAACTGTAGGCAAAGAGGAGGTCTGGTTAG